GAGATGGATTGGCCAAGTGGCAGCATTGATGGACTCAAGCGTGGCAACAGTAGTGAGGTTGGCCCAGGATCGGGCAGTGTTTCGTTCTGTTGTGCATAAATTCGCTATGAGTCAACTCGATGGCACCTAACAACAACATCTCCCACTCCATTTAAAAAAATAAAACTAAACAACAACAACAAACAACCAGTTCTTCTCTCAGCATAGTTTCTTGGTTCGTCAAAGTTTACCTTTTCTTGGTGCTGTTGCTCAACTTTGACCAGCTCAGCTTGTAACTCTGTTTCCATCTCAGCAAAGTTATTTCGCTCCTCAAACAGCATCTTCTGCATATCAGCACAGCTGGCCTTGCTCTGTTTCAGGCTGCTTTCAAGTTTGCTGACCTGTATTTTGGAGGAGACCAGCTGGGGGAGACAGGGATTGGCGGGGCAGGACATTAAAAGAAGTTCACTTTATCTAGAGAATAGCCACTTTTTTTTCTATTCATTAGGCAGGAAAATATCAACTTTTAAAAAATAGACTGATAAAAATTCTTCCATGTCCAAGTCCATTCTTATATTTTCATGTTAAATTGATTCTAATATTAAATAGCAACATGATTCTGCTGAGATATCTTAGCACTATGATGTTTCTGGGTGGTACAAACAATTAACATACTCGCTGCTAACTGAAAGGTTGAAGTTTGATACCACCCAGGGTTGACTCAGAAGAAAAGCCTGGCAAGCTACATCTGAAAAATCAGCCATTGAGAAACCCATGGAACACAGTTCTACCATAAATTAAAGTCGATTCCACTGCTACTGGTATTTAGAGGTAACTGCTAAATTCATTTAATCTCTTGCTTTGCCTCAAGGAAAGAATAGATCTAACATAAACAGTATCTGACAGCTTCAAAGTCTGTTATTTAAGAAGTTCTTCCTTGATTTTAAAGAGAAACTTTCAGGGCGCACACCCTTATGACTGTCTCAATGTCTGTGTTTGTTCATGTGTCAACTCGTAGACATGTTAGCTGAGACTGCAGAGGTAATTCTTCAGGCTAGATTTATATCCTATGCTGGCCTAGTTTTACATTCACTACTAGGTTAAATGATAAACATCATAAATACCACTGTTGACAAAACTAATCAGAATTTCCTTTGGAGGGCCAATCTGCTAACCTAACACAAAAATATATAAACTTTCAGGTTCAGAGTATACATGCTTGTTTCAAGTGAAAATGCCTAGATCATTAGAGGTGATCAATATTAATTCTTCTTGTGGTAACATAACAATATTATTTTAAGGTTAGTGGAGATGGGTTTTCCTTAAAATAAACCTAGTACGTCTTCTATTTTCTTAGTGGTCTTAAAATTTTTAATATCTCTCTCTCATAGGTGTTTGAAAAAGTATACAAAAATCTGCTTAATGAGTAGTGGATTTCTTTTTGGGGTGCTGAAAACATTTTGGAACTATATAGAGATGATGGTGCAGTATATATATATTTAGATGCAAATATACTAAATGTTGCTGAACTGTTCACTTTAAAATGGTTAATTTTATGTTATAAAAATTTCACCTCAATAAAAAAAGAAAAGAAAATGTATTACTATAGCTTATGTTTAACCTATAGCCCACTATGACATCCTAATCTTATAATAATAACTGCTAACATTTATTAAGTACTTGCTATATGATATGCCAGGCACAACAGGTTATCAATTTGCAAGTCATATGCTGTTTTTCTAAGTGACTATCTTGTATTTGCTCCCACCAGCCTTTATCCATGAAACTATTTCTTTAATGTGAGTGCACTGTGGTTTCTACCATGAAAAGTAGCAATAATACTACAAAATTAGGATAGACGAATATCCTATTTCAACCTACCCACTCAGACCCCTATATGCTGGTAGAAAGAGTAATGTTTACCTCTCCAGTTAAATATTTCAGGGCACACTTGGCTTCCATAATGGTAGTAATACTCTCCCAGCGGTGTTTTGGCCTGTCTTCACTTTCTGCATCGAGAAGCTTCTGCTGTAGGTCAGCAATTTGAGCGCTCCTTCAGGGGAAAAAACAGTGAGCCTTATTGTTAGTAGCCTCAAGACCAAGAAGAGGTGAAGAGGTCTGAGAAGAAAATTTAAATAAACTATTTTATTGATGAAGGTATCAGTTAAATATCTTTTTAAAAACAGTTTTTATTGTGGTTTGAGTTTACATGGGAGAACATAGGTTTTACACAATTGTTTCACTGCACTGATTACTCCTCCATGCATCATTGTTCAACAGTATTTGCTTCTATTCCCTCTGTTTTCTTGTTTTTTAGGGGGTGGTGGTGGTGGTGGGGCATACACAAAAACACTCAGGAATATATAATAATTTAAACAACCAAAGGACACATTCTGAAAGTCTGTCTTCCTGGCCGCCAGCAGTCAGTCTTTCTCTTAACATGAGTCAAGAGTCCTCATCTGCTCTCTTTCCATATCCTCATCTCTGCCTCCATCTCCGGTGTCTCTGCTTCTCTGATTATCAGTTAAATATCTTTTAAACAGTTGTCTTGCAAGATTTTATACAGTATCTCAAATTTTGTGACAAGGGACTCCAAGATACTATCCAAATGTTTTGTTTGTTTGTTTGTTTTTCAATCAAATACTGGTTGAAATAAATAAGTAGCATAGTGGGACTTAGAAAGATTTGTTAGATTAAGACTTTTGTTACAGTGGATTGCTATAATGTAACTTTGTCTTGAGACCATATAAACTCGACTATGATTTGGTGGACCAAACCATGCAACGATAAAAACTGAGTTAGAGACCTGAAAGAAACAGCTCAAAAGAACAAACAGGTAGATGCATTCTGTAAGAATCAAATATCAAATTGATACCTATGGTTGGCGTACGACAGTATATCTTGAAGTGCTTGCCACAAAACCAAGAAATCTTTAAGAAAACTAGATACCCTGACCCTAGTGATAACTTCAAGGTACCTTTGGTCAAATATGCCCTGAATTTAAGATCACTTTAGTTTCATTAATAGCTTCGTTCTCAAATTTCCGCAGTGTCTACTGAGAGAGAAAACACTAGCATGTGTTTAACTTGTAATGCTATGTTAGGTATTACAGGTAGTCCCCAACTTAGGGCATATTAGAGTTACACTAAAACATATTTATGACTCTTTTAAATCTTTTTGTATATCTTCAATTTTGCAGTGCATAATTTGCTGATATTATCATCCTCAAATGTTCAAAGATAGGATTTATAAAGATACTGATAATAAAAGGCAATAATAATGAAAACTAAAAAAAGAGTGAGGCATTCAACTTATGTTAGAAAAAACTTATGATGAAGTCACTGGAACAGATTACCTGTATAAGGAATATGGGCACAAAAATAGTCTAAGAGTGGCTCTCAAAGTATCGGATCTCAGGATTCCTCTACACTCTTAAAATTTTCTAAGGCACTCTAAGGAATTGTGTTCACATATCTATAGATATTTGCAGTATTAGAAACTGAAACACAAAGACATTTAAAATATTTATTTACTTAAAACAACAATAAATCCTTATATGTTGATATAAATTTTTATGAAAAATATCATTTTCAAACAAAAATTTAATGAGAACAGAGTGGAATTGTTTTTATATTTTTGCAAATCTTTGTAATATCTGGCTTTAATAGAAGACAGCTAGATTCTCATACCTCCCTCTGAATTCCATCTTTTGGGACATGTATTGCTTAACATATAATGACAATCTGGTCTCATATAGATATGTAGTTAGAAAAGGAAGGAGTATTTTCATAGGCTTTTCAGATACTTGTAATATTCTACTTTGAGACTATACCAAGACTCAACAAGTGGTAGTTTTTTAAAAGTCAGTTACGAGGGCGGGGCTTGATGGCGGCTAGAGTGGAGGTGCAGTGAAGTTCGCTGTCAGTAATACCACAGAATACCAGGCAAAGCAGATCCAGGGCAGAGCTCCCAAACTCGGAACCACAGAGATAGGAATATTTAAAAAATTTGAAGACTTATAGCTTGTGGAAATTGGAGCTGAAGTAAAAAATCGTATACTTTTGAATCTGCCGGGGCGGGCTTGGAGGCGTGGAAACACCACGGAAAAATGCCACGGGAACCTTGGGACAAAGGTGGACAATATACTTTGTCAGTTTTGCTTTGTTCTAATTTTCTTTTGTGTCTTTTTTTTTTTTTTTTTTGGTATCTGGTCATTGGCACACCCACTGTTTGGCCACCATCATTCTGGTGCCTAGAGGGGGAGACTGAGCGTGTGGTCACTCCCCACCCTCACCACTGGTGGGTTCTTCTGCCACGCATGCGCACAGATACTCAGCCCAAGAGCAGACCCTGAACTTTTCTTATTTGTTCTGTTTTTGAACACAGGAAAGAGCAGGAGAGGGCTGTAGGGAGGGAAAAAGAGTTTAAAATTAAAACAGGCTGAAGGTTGGATTAGAGCCTGAGGTGTAGCATAACAACCAACACTGACATCTTGGAATCTCTTGGGAAGCTTTGAAAGCAGGAAGCTGAAGAGAGGACATTAAAGTCATACTCACATCAGGCTACAGATTTTTTTTTTCCTTTCTTTTTCTTCTCTCCCCCCTCTCCCTTTTCTGTGATTAGAGTATTCAGTCTAGTCTTTGTTATTGCTGTCTTTTAGTCTTTCTCCCATTTTTTCCCCGCTGATGTTGTTTTGCTGTTATATGCCCACCCTTCTGCCTTTTGAGGACTCTTTGTCTCCCTATACTACACAAGAAGAGCCAGCAACTGCTGCCATATAGTCAAGCTACAATCACACTCTATAAAACACCAAAACCCAGGCAAGAACCAATAACAGCTGCCATATACCAGGGAAACAGTCAACACTTGTGAAAGTTACGCTGAGTTAAGTAATAAGAAGAGTGAAAAGGGAAGCCCACATCCTGATCACATCTTCCTGGAAGCAATCAGAAAGCATAAAGAATACCAAAGCACATATTCAATTAAGTATTAAGGCCACAGATAAACATTAAACATGTCCAAGAAGCAAAAGCAGATGACTATATAAGCACATGTCCAGAAACAAGACAAAATGTCTGAGACAAATGACCTAAAAGTATACCTGGACTCCATTCTGGAAGGAGGGCAGGCCTTGGAAATGCCTGAGAAAGAATTCAGAAAAATGATTATAAAATGTTTCAAAACACTTTAAAATGGAGTT